AAAGATTAGGAGACTAGGAGATCAGCAGGTTGAGAGGCGAGGAGTCCCTCCGATGAGATTGGACAAAAAGTGACTGACTTCTTGGGGATTATGAGAGCAAGCGATCGGGGAATCATGAGATTTGGGGATCAGGAAACCTGGAGAATAAGAAGCTTCTCTGAAAAGTTAGATATATATCATTTGACAGGATTCTCCTAACCAATTATCCCCTATGCTCACAATTTATTTGTTCCAACTGCAATTCGTTGGCTGGGCGGAATTCAGACCCGGTTTTTACCTTAGGGCCAAGCACTTCACACCGGTGCAAATCGTCGCGACTTCAAACCTAAATATCGCAAAACTCGCTGAAATGAATTTGACGGAATTCTGACCTGATGAGCTCTGGCGACCAACTCGATGTTGAGAATGGAATTCATTTCGAACACCACGTCTTTGCCAAAAACATACGATACACCTCGAGAATTTGATGCCCATCCCTACAATATCAGAAACTTCTGAAACGAATTACGGTATGCCATCAAGCGATGAATGAAGCGACCTTTGTGTAGTTGTCAGGATCGCTCCATAGTAAATCGATATGTAATGAAGGATTTGGCGGATCTATAGGGCGAGTTATATTCCGGAGTTGTTCAAGAGACTTGAGCTGGAAATAATTTTTGAAGGATTTCCTCTGTTATTGACCTCCCCCCCCCATGAAGACTATGGTTGCCTACCTTTGGGGACAAGCCACCATGCATGCAAAGAATCTTGCCATCTATCAAACCAGTGAATGGCAGAGCAGCGAAGGCATCCTAAACGAAGCAGCACCAGGTTCGGCTTATCAATGCATTGCAAATGCGTGCAAATCAGCGTTTGCCGCGTTCGACGAAATCGCACTCCAGTGCGACAAGATCACACGTAATTTGTTCTTGAAGAAGCTGCCGCGAGATAAAGTCATGCGCAACAAATGAACGTGTAAAGGGACGAATCTCATCACTTGAAAAAATCGCCAAGTCCTGGGACTACCTGGAATTGCAACCACAATCGAGTGCTCTGATACCGTCGATTGCATTCTTCAAAAAATCCATAAACACGATTAATTGGTGAGCATTCGTGATTTCCACGGAGGGCGAAAAAGTTACCAGGATATTTGATCTGAAAATGACAAGTGTTTGAGGGTGAACTTTGGTGCTTATTCAGTGGGGGGGGGGTAAGGTCAGTCGTAACCGCGGCGAGCGTGCATGCTTGCGCTCCTCTTATCGAGAATTGTAAACTCGCAGAACCCCTGCGCCCTGAATCGGCTGCACTCCAGTCGCTTCGTTTTGAAGGGCGCGAACATGCCGAGCGACGCGGAGGTGACTGCCGCCCACCCACCCCCTCCCTTCCGCAAAAGTTAGCCCCATGATTCATACTAATTCAGACCGAATCTTTTCAATCGCGCCTTGTCTGGATCAATTACCTGCGACTTGAAACCAACCTTGTAACAAAATATCAATCCTATGCATTCTAAATTCTGCTGACCACGATCCACATAATCGCCAAGGAATAAATAGTTCACAGTCGGGGGGAATCCGGATTGATCAAATAGTCGAAGAATGTCTAAAATACTATATTTTTTCTATAGTGATACCATCACAGCACAAAATAATGCGTAAGATGCACACCGGTGGTGCAATCTGGAATTTTGCGTGGATATCACCCTGATTTCCACACAAAAGGCCTGAAATAGTCTAGGAGAGGAGACTATCCTGGGTAAGTGGGTAGGTAGTGGACTTCGTTACTCTTGTTTCCTTCCTTCTTAGGAGTAAAACCAGACCTTTTCACCAAAGGAATATGGAATGAACGTAACTCTGAACCGCCATGATTACGCTATGATTTCCGCTTACCACTACGACTTTCAGCACCCCTCTGTTGTTTTCTTGTTGTGAAGCTCTTTTTCTCTCACTCTGCTACAGCAAGAAAAAAGCGGTGTTTCCTACAAGGGCATTCTCGTGTTACAAAGGGTATCACAGAACGTGACTTCAAGCGCCACTTCGTTGAAGGCAAACCCGGGATAAAACTAGTGTATAAGAGCGCTTCGTAGTGATGACTGAGCTGCGGAATGAACTGAAAGTGGAAAGGAAAGCAAGAGAAATCATTGGAAACGCTGAAATTAAGGCCTTAACCTTCAATAAGGTCGGATGTGGTACGATGGCGAGACAGGGCGATCAAAGAAGACAAAACACGCGAGAGAGCACGCCGTTCGAGAGAGCACGCTGATCTCTACATCAACGCGGTGGGTGGGAAGCGTTGCAACGGGGTCGATGGTTGCAGGCCCGTAAGGATTAGCGCCCTAATCGCGCAATTTTGCGATGAAGCTGGCATGATCTATGTATGAATGGACTCCAAAACTTCCCTCACGGTGTCGGGCTTATCCCGGGGTTCGCCTTCAATGGACAACAAAGGATGGTAGTTTTAAAAAGTATGCCCGTGCTGTCCAAGCAGGACTCTTGTCTCTACGGTCTCGTTCAAAATAATCTTCCGAAATTATACAGAAGCACTGAAACTTAATCAAATCCTGGCCGCATGCGCAACGCATTTTGATTCCATTCACATTGAAATGACTCGAATACCATCTAATCAATATTAAAGGCAGAATTTACGATGAAAAGTTAGCTCATTGGAAATAAGGGTAGAGGTGGTCAGTGGAGCAGGATGAAGAAGAAACCATTTGAAACGGCCCGAAACCCGAGAAATGGGACCCCTTCCTTGCCCGTTGATTTGCGCATTGATGCGACTCTCATCGCTGTGCCCTCTTCAACACTACGCTCTCTCT